AAAAGGGATGCTAACGCTGCTGCTTCAGGTCCAGCTAGCGGTAGGAGATGCTGTCCTAACTCATAATAGTGAGGTCCAAGCTTGTGCAAATCTACAACACTTGCATCAGCTTTCATAATTTCCCTGAAGGAAGATAGAAAAAGATTAATTCCATTATATTTCATTAGTTAAATAAATTAATCATATACAAATTTGCAGCCTTATTTGAACACTTACAAAAGCTTCCTTTCTTTGAGCTGTAACAAAAAGAGGATGCCTATGTATATCAAATATATTCTAATATACAATGAACTTTATCATCAATACATAATAATTTATCCAGATTACACATCTATTCATCCACAGTAGTTACCTGAACCCACAAACACACCACAGCCATGATATTTCCATACATCAGTGTAATAATTTAGCCTACCTATATCGCTCCTTAAATGTATTCGGTAACTGGGCTGACACTATGTGCCGTCTTGATGAGCAGAGAGCTCTGGCCAGCCAACAGGGAAGCTCCAACTTTGTTCCAGCAACCACATCTTTATTGCCACTAGAGGGATCAAGGTAGCCTGAAAACATAGGGGAAAAAGTCAAACACAATCATGCATTGGGAAATACTTATTATCTCTATGAAGTGATATACATACACACACACATACACTGTAGATATATATACACATGTGCATGTGTGTGTGTATATGTATGTATGTAAATATATGTGTATATATGTATATGTATATGTATGTATGTATGTATGTATGTATGTATGTATGTATATATATATATATATATATATATATATATATATATATATATATATATATATATATATATATATGTATGGATGCATAGATGTATGAGTATGTATGTTTATGTAAATATATGTATGTATATAGAGAGAGATATAAATGATGAAATATAATTGAAAATAAAATTAAAAGAAAAGAACAGCTAATATTTAATAGTACTTACTTGGCAAATATAGTTATGAACCATGTTCATGTTGACAAATGTATAAAAGGAATGAATGAGAATGAATATCTTCACCATACAAGTGATGTATTTGACTAGTTTGGATTGTATCTTCATCAGAAGATATAATCGAAACCAGTAAAATACCTCTCTTGTATTGTGAAGATATTCATTCTCATTCATCCCTTTTATATATTTGTAGTTATAATACAAGGATTTGGACTTCACATCTAAAGAGTCAAGTAGTAAACAGTTGTATATTATGGTGGTCCATACCTAGACACCTCAACACATGACACACTACTAAATATCTTTCCATAGCCAGGGGATCATAAAATACTGATCCTACTTAGTTGGCCTAAAAACAGTAGGCCTACTCAAATGGTGGAAGGAGAAGAAGGCTGATGACAGGAGGGAGAGGGAGTGGTGTCAAATGAGGGGCGTGACTTGCCCTGGGTCAGTGATAAAAGGGGAGGCTGGAGTCGGAAAAATTGGAAAAGTTATATTCAGTGGGGCTAGTTGGTAAAGGATATAATATTGCAACATCTAACACTCATGGATCATAGAGGCATAACCAACTAACCAGTGCCCAAGCTTAAGGTGTCTAACGTCTTTTGCAAACATTACTGCCAAGAAATTATATCCTAGATGGTTGAAGTTAAACATACCAAGAATTCTAGATTTTTTTTTCATTTAAAAGTTGGGTCATTCTTGAACTCAAGACCACATCCTTCACAAGAGCAAGAGGAAGTCTTGTTAACACTGTGAATTTTGTACGAAGGCCATCAAAATTTCCATATACATTCTTGTGAGATACAGCTGGGATAAGGTCCTTACTTGATAACAAATAGCTAGGGAGGTTTAGAGGGTTTATTTTACCATAATAATCATGTTGCAGGTTTATTGGCCTTTGTCAGAGTGCCATAGGAGCACAAGTTAGTTTAAATACCCAAGTCTCTGCAGTGTATCTCCAGTAGATTTAACTTGACCTTCTGTACATTAGGCAAAAATATGGCATGTTTTTATATATTTTGACAATCCTGTTCTTAGCCTTCCAACTTGCTAATTCAAGATTTTCATAAAATTTCCCCCAAAAGGTATCGCCCCAGACTGAAACATTTCTGGTGAACAATAGTACTGCCCTTTTAACCCCTTGGTGCCGGGTATGACGTGTACGTACGTGCTATGCCCACAGTGAGTACTTGTTTGATTGTTTTTACGCATAGATGGCAACACTTGTACTAAGTCCCCAATGAGCCAGTTACGAGCACCACCCGTCTCGCCCGTTTACCCGTTTCTTTGATTTACAAAATATTTTACGTAATCTTATTTTGCTGTTACTAATGTTAAAAAACATTATAAAAATTATGTTTATATTAAAAATAATACCATCGATTTTCATAGCACTAGTGAAAAATACGCTTTTCCCGCCATTTAAATCAGGCGCTAGCAGAGCCATCTATCGGCAGACATTTCACGAAAAACATAGAAAGTGGGCATAATATTTTCCCCATTTTTTTTCGGAAATATATATATACTGTCTCCCCCCCCCCCCCATCAAACTTAATTCCGAGGACTTGGAACCCTAAACCTATAAGGCCTTGATTACAAACCCTAATAACAGTGTTTCAGGAGATGCTTCTGAAAAGTTTCTTCTCAGATTTTCATAGTTCTTACAATGACATATTCAAACAAATTACAATTTTCACGTGATACCATAATTACCTGCAAACGACGACAATAGCTAATCTAATTTCAATAGAATATGCGAATATTTCACATGACAAATATGGATTATATGATACCAGAAAGTGAAAGAAGAGGTCTAAATGTAAACAAAAAGAAGATAAAAGTGATGGTATTTAGCAAGAACAAGACAATTCCTTGATGCAATATCCAGTTAAATGATGAAGCAATAGATCAAGAGTATGAATTTGAGTATCTTGGGAGCACTCTTACTAGTGACGCCAGAAGTGATAAAAAATTAAACGTAGAATAGCAATTGCAAAGACAAAATTTATGGAAACGATGAGCATATTAACTAATAGAAACATATCAATTGAAATAAAGAAACGCTTTCTGAGATGCTACGTTTGGTCAGTTTTATTGTATGGAAGTGAAACATGGACCATCTATAAGGATTTGAAAAACAAATTGTAATCAATGGAAATGTGGTGCTATTGCAGAATGATGGGGATACCCTGGACAGACATGGTCAGAAATGAATATGTTTTAGAAAAAAATTAAAGAACAAAGGCAAATGATTAAAAAAAAATAACTCAAGGGCAACTTCGATTTCTCAGTTACATTGTTAGAGAAGATGGCCTCGAAAACTTAGTCCTTGAATGCAAAATTGATGGATCAAGAGCTAGAGGTAGACAGAGAAAAATGTATTTGGATGATTTGGCAGCCAGCAACATTCGGAAAGGAGAGCTTATTCATCTCGCTCAAGACCGAACTAGGTTCAAAATCATGATCGCCAACGTCAGCAGCTGACATGTTACTCGAAGTGAATGAATGAATGGTACCAAGAGCTCACAGGGTTTTACTCATCATTAAGTGAACAAACAAAATAACTTAGTTTGCAGAGGATAGCGCAAACAAAGGCGTTCTCAGACTATTAGCTTGAAGATGCGTTTCGGTCTCTTTGAACATTTATCTATAGCATAAGCAGAAATATTTTCTATATTCTGCACTACGATCATGTGAATGCAGCGCGTCATTCTGAAAATATCGATGCTTATGTAATAGTAAAGAGATGAAAGAAACAAAACCTGTAATAAAGGCATTTTGGATAATTAGGAAGCAGGTCTCTTCAATATAATCAAATTAGATTTTTATTTCTACTTAATCTAATATAATTTTAGCTCCTTTATATATCCCAAGTTCAAAATTGAATAAAAAAAACTCAAAAAGATATTCAAATCCAGATAAATATATTCACACACAAATAAATAAGATATAAAGTTCAATCTTCGAATTTTTAAACGACCTAAAAACTTAAACAAACATCAACTGCACACCATTTATCCATTCTTAAAAAACATGACTTATTTAAAAGGACTTAAATAAGACTAAAAGAAAGACTTACTGGCTCAAACTAAAACACGTAAAAAAAAATAAAAACAATAAGACGTCAATATGTATAATAAGATAGTGGAAGAGTTGGGTAATAAAACCTACATGAAATAGAACAATGCAAACCGAGACAAAGTTCTTCTACGGCAATATGTGTGCAAATGCTTCCCAAGGCTGCTATACATAAAATGAAAGAGAAGAGAAGATCCCCGGTCTTACTTTCGAAACAATTTTGATATTTTTTCTGCATGAAATCACTGCTTTCAACGATTCTAGGCATTGTTCCTTGTGCAAATGAATCATTGATATGATCACCATCTCCACCGACAATCTTGATTTGATAGTCCCAATAGCAGGGGACGGCACCAAGTATATCAGGGAAATCTTGGGGTAAAACAGGACCCCCCTGGTTGTTAAGCAAAACGCCATAACCCAACATCCAACCTAACCTAACACCGTGGTACATATTCCTTAGCCAGGGGGCTCTGTCCCTTGGACCCCTGTGGTAATATATATACCTAGTCTGGGGGCTGCGCTCCCTTGACCCCCGTGGTAGTATCTGCGCCTAGAAATCACCCTTGCAATGGAAACAAGATGGGCGCCTTAGCCCAAATTGGGGGATATTCTCTTTTCTTTTACTTATAGCACCCTTGGGAAGCATTTGCACACATATTGCCATAGAAGAACTTTGTCTCGGTTTGTATTCTAGTTCCTGTAGGTTTTATGACCCAACTCTGCCACTACCTTGTCCTACGTATTGTCCAAAAACTCACCGAGATTGTAGACCGGGAGCTCGAACTTACACGGCACCCTGTCCTGAGTGGCCAGGATGTCGCCGAGGGAGAAGTAGTCGGGAAAGTAGCTCGAGTTGCGCGCCATTGAGGGGTTGTGTTTACGTGTGGGAGGGGGGGAGGGGGAGGGAGGTGCGTTCGCGTAAGGCAAAAGGAGGAAGATCCGTCGGATTTGCTTCTTCGTTCTTATTTCTTATTTTTTTCTTACTTCTTTTTTTTCTTCTTATTCTTTATTCTTTATTCTTTCTTTTTTCTTCTCATTCTTTATTCTTTCTTCTTTCTTTCTTATTTCTTTTTCTTTTTTTCTCCTTTCTTCTTTCTTTTTTCTTTCTTCTTTTTTCTTCTTTCTTCTTTTTTCTTCTTTCTTCTTTCTTTTTCTTCTTTCTTCTTTCCTATTTCTTCTTTCTTATTTCTTCTCTCTTCTTTCTTCTCTCTTCTTTCTTCTTTCTTCTTTCTTCTTTCTTATTATTATCATTATTCTTTTTTGATATGGGGTTTTAGACTTATGTTATCTGTATCGGATTTTCCACTTTCCGTTGTGCGAACGACCGGATTCCTCGGGGGGGGGGGGGGGTTAGGGGGAGGCGCGATCCGGATTGTGGCGAGAGATAATTAATCGATGTGGGGATTAAGTGATGTGTGTGTGTGTTTGTTTGTTTGTTTGTTTGTGTGTGTGTGTGTTTGTTTGTGTTTGTGTGTGTTTGTTTGTTTGTTTGTGTGTGTTTGTTTGTTTGTGTGTGTGTGTTTGTTTGTTTGTTTGTGTGTGTGTGTTTGTTTGTGTGTGTTTGTTTGTTTGTGTGGGTGTGTGTGTGTGTGTTTAGGTGTTTGTTTGTGTGTGTGTGTGTGTGTGAAAGAGAGAGAGGGGGGGGGGAGAGAGAGCGAGAGAGAGAGAGAGAGAGAGAGAGACAGACAGACAAACAGACAGACAGAGAACGTGTGAGTGAGACAGATTGACTGATACATCAAGAGAGAATCCTAGCTGCATGTATCAAAGTCAGATGAAGAATGCTCATCTGATTTATATCCTTCTTTTGCGTTATTATTCACGTAGCTCTTCCTGGTGCGGTCCTTTGATGATGCTGCGACTGGTTATTTCAGGTTAAACGTTTTTGATAATGAAACTATAATTAAACAATATTCTCCACTCTCTCTCTCTCTCTCTCTCTCTCTCTCTCTCTCTCTCTCTCTCTCTCTCTCTCTCTATCTATCTATCTATCTATCTATCTATCTATCTATCTCTTTCTCTCGCTCTTTCTCTCTCTCTTTCTTTTCTCTCTCTTTCTTTCTCTCTCTCTTTCTTTCTCTCTTTCTTTCTCTCTTTCTTTCTCTCTCTCTTCCTCTTTCTTTCTTTCTTCCTTTCTCTCTCTCTCTCTCTCTCTCTCTTTCTCTCTCTCTCTCTCTCTCTCTCTCTCTCTCTCTCTCTCTCTCTCTCTCTCTCTCTCTCTCTCTCTATCTATCTATCTATCTATCTATATATATATATATCTATATATATATCTATATCTATATCTATCTATCTATCTATCTATATATATATATATATATATATATATATATATATATTTATTTATATATCTATCTATCTCTTTCTCTCTTTCTTTCTCTCTCTCTTTCTTTCTCTCTTTCTTTCTCTCTCTCTTTCTTTCTCTCTTTCTTTCTCTCTCTCTTTCTTCATCTTTCTTTCTTTCTTCCTTTCTCTCTCTCTCTCTCTCTCTCTCTCTCTCTCTCTCTCTCTCTCTCTCTCTCTCTCTCTCTCTCTCTCTCTCTCTCTCTCTCTCACTCTCTCTCGCTCTCGCTCTCTCTCTCTTACTGTGTGTGCTTGTGGTATGTATGAACTTGTGTTATTCAACAGCAAGTGCGCTTAAGTTAATTCGTGTTATGTGAAATTGCAACAGTAGAGAGGGTGATGTCCGTATTACGTAGTGAAATAGGCAGACCTGTCACTGGCTGGCATGAAGAACTAACATGTGTTTGAGTGTATATATAAATATATATATATATATATATATATATATATATATATATATATATATATATATATATATGTGTGTGTGTGTGTGTGTGTGTGTGTGTGTGTGTGTGTGTGTGTGTGTGTGTGTGTGTGTGTGTGTGTGTGTGTGTGTGTGTCTGTTTATATATATATATATATATATATATATATATATATATATATATATATATATATATATATAATCTACTGGCTATGAGATGTCTGTCGGTCCCCATGGCTGGGGAGCTGATTTTAACAACGAGATTAGCCTCCTCTTCCCCCGGGACTTTGCTAGGTCCCAGAGATTGAGAATCCCTGGTTCCTGGTACTGTGTGAGCACTCCAACCCGCACCGTCTATCCAGTGATCACCGGGGAGTTTCATTTGGACATACTGAGGAAGGGGGGATGTGCCCGCAGATTCCCAGGGGCTTTTTTTCTAATCCGCAACTCTCGGTAGTTCTGGGCAGCTTAAACCAGGAGCAAATCACCGACATTGACTTTGCTGCTAACTGACTGTCTAGAAATCCCAGTGGTGACTCTAAATGCACTTTGCAATGCAGCGAAGCCCTTCTGGGCGAAGACCAAGATCCGGGATTTGGGGGGCCTACTAAAAGAACCTATTTACAGTCGGTACACACTTATGCCGACGGATATTGGGAGTCACAGAGCTTTACATA